GCTTTATATACTGGTTATTGTTTTGCTTTTCACTTATTTTCTGGTTCTGGTGAAGTTGTTCTTTGTTCTATGGTTTCTATTGAAGGTACTAATAGATTGCCTCTTTTCGTCTTCTTTTTGTCTTCTTGAGCTGAGGGTCTTTCGGAAACAGCCTCTCTACCCCCTCGAGGTAGGGGTAAGGTCTGCGTACACACTACCCTCCCCAGACCCAACTAGTGAGATTTCACTAGGTCGTTGTTGTTGTTGTTGTTGTTGTTGTTGCATATTGTCCACTAATGCAAGCTGGGACAATTCTCCATCTCTCTTTATGACTGGAGTAGTTTCCTTATCTGTTCCAGCAAGCTAGAACTTCAGATATTCTTCTCGGCATTACCCACAAGATTCCCCTTAAGCTGATGAATATTCTCCATAGTTGTAAGGTGACACTGCAGTGCAAAAAGAGATGATTGATTGTCTCTGCCTCCTCCCCACATGACCCATTCTCTTGAGATAAAGTGATTTCCTAGTAAGAAGCTGCAATCACTTCTCGCTCATATGACCCATTCTTTTGAGCCACAAATCTGCAAAAATCTCATCTTGTGCCGCATTCAATTCACCTCGGCATATTTCTGTATTAGTCTTGTACAAGGTGCCACGAGAAACTCCCTTTGCATTCACCAATGATCTCTTAGTGAGTCTCCACTTTTGATTTGCAAAATAGTTCTCGTATCCATCTTGGTCCAAAGATATTTCCGAGATTAAGTTCATTCGCAAATCAGGTACATGTCGCACGTCCTTTAGAACCAATGTGCATATGACATTTGTCAAATGTCACCGATCCTCACAATCTTTGAATAACTCATGTTTCCCATTCTCACAGTGCCGAAATCACCTGCTACATATCTACAAAAAATTTCTCTTATTGGTGTAGCATGGTAAGATGCTGCTATGTCAACCACCATTCCGACTCTGGACCTGCCAAATGCATGCATTCGTCTTCCTCATTATGAAGATAACAACATTATCAGTATTTTGCATAATGGCAGTTGTCTTGTCGTCATTCTTATTGCCACTGCTTTCATCTTTGCCCTTTCAATCTCTTTTTAAGTGACCTGATTGATCGCAATTGTAGCAATTTGTGGCTTTTGATTTGGATCGGTTCTTGGACTTTCCACGACCCCTGGATCTACCATAGTTGCTCGAACTTCCTAGGTAACTCCTGCCTCTACCTTTTGTGATGAGAGCATTTCCTTGATTTTCAGGCTTCTTCTTATCTTCTCATTGAGTAGAAGAACCGATGTGACGTCCTTCAATTCAATAGTGATTTTACCGTGCAAGATGGTTGTTGCCAAATTATCGCAATGAGTTCAAGGGCAAGATGACTTATCCTCTTACTAGATCTTTACTCCTAGGTTGACAAACTGCGTGATTAGTCCATTAAACATATTTAAATGTGACAAAAAATTGGTACCTTCACCATATGTAGGGCGTATAATTCCTTCTTCATGTACAATTTGTTTGTTAGCATTTGGGACATGTATAGGCTTTCCAACCTTGTCCAAATGCCACATGCAGTATCTTCATCGATGATGTTATTTACCACATCATCTGATAAGTGCAACCTAATTGCACTAGCAGCCTTTTCATCCAAGTCAGCCTAATCCTTAGCTTTCATGATATTTATCTAATACCTTGTATAATTCTTGTTGGATGAGCAGATCCCTCATCCCTCTTTGCCATGTTGAGAACCCGCTATCTCCGTTGAATTTTACTACTTCGTACTTTACTCCGGACATCTTATTTTTCCACCACATATTGTACTACCGACCGTGAAAAATATTCTGTTAATGAGCAGAACCTGTGTTCTGATACCAATTATTGAAAAAATAATCCTCACAGAAATTATATTCACGGTATACAAATGTAATAAATGCAGATTACTAAAATACAGTAACCAACGTAATACTAAGAGAAACAAGGACACTGAGATTTTTACGTAAAAACCCTTCTTAATAAGGGAAAAGCCACAGCTCGAGAGGAGCAACTGATTTCACTATAGCAAAGATTTTTCAATTTGTGGTATCAAGTAAAATACTCTAAAACCACTACACACTCAAAAGAAATAACCCTTTTTTTGATTTTTGCACCTCACTACAATACCGCTCAAACTCTGTATATTTTTTCTCAAATGTATTTTTCTTCTTACTCTATCTGTCTGATGTGTCTTCAACTAAAATAAAAGCTTGCTATTTATAGCAAAGCAATGACTCACATGATGTCATCCATGGCATCACACTTTGTGTGAACTATAGTATAAACATAAGAAAAGTTTGTCTTCTGTTTTTCTACATTCATAGAAGGCACACAATTTCCTTCAAACTTTCACACAGGATATATCTCGGTGTCCTTTATCACTTTAAGTGAAGAAACCATGGCTTTTAATCACACTGGTAGAGAGTTCCAAGAATTCGGGCAAAGATGGAAAATGAACTTGCTGGAATAGATGGTTGTGAGTGCAGCATATCTCTCATTGAAACATATTCACTATGTTTGAACAGTTATAATCTTATCCTTCATCTAAAATTGAACATGGTTATGAATTATGATTACTGAACACGGTTACAGTCTCTGCCAATAGATAAAGCCCATGATGAATCATATTCCCATTCTTTGATTATAACCGAGATAATACTTAAATATGAACCTTGGTAAACTTCACAACAAACCTAGAAAATGATCCATAAAGATTCAATATTCAATCCTAACTGGACTCGGTAAACAAAAGTTTTTGGAACTCAACAAAGGGAAAGACCTCCCAAAACATGTTCAGCATAGCTTAAATATGGCAGTATTTGGACTCAAACATCACCATCTAGTGGGATAAATGGGCTGTTGTGTAAAATATTAAGTTACTTCACAATCAACTAAGTTAAAGATTAATTTTTTTTCCGTCTACAGATATATAAAAAACTGCTTGGCAAATTGTTGGTCAAGTAACTTACTTGGCTCGTGGAAATTGAACATTGGCAATTCTTTTAGGACAGACACCATATTCATTGGTAATGTGCTTTCCCTTATTTGGGACCTTGCCTTCTGGGAATTCTTTCTTGATAGAAGTGTTGATCTTATAGTTGACTCTAATTGAAGAATGCCAATTCTGGACTTTCATTAGTTTTGTTTATGTTATCACTAGTATGTCTCGATTTTGGAAATTGGAAATTTTACTCCTGATTGTTACAGTATGTCTGCCATTTCAAATTTCATGGAATGAGAAGCCTCAGCTTCATGAATCAGCACCATGAATCATGAACGAATATTATTAGTACTTTTCGTATTTCACTTTGATCTAGACAGAGCAATTATTCATTTGGCTGAGTATAGAACAATGACAACAACCTAGTGGAGTCCCACAAGTGGGGTCTGGGAGGGTAGTGTGTACGCAGACTTTACCCCTAACTTGAGAGGGTAGAGAGGCTATTTCCGATAGACCCTCGGTTCAGGAAGGAAGGAAAAAAACAATAGAAACAAGCACTACCAACATCCGATGCCAGAAAGATAATCACAGCAAACTAAGAGCTGGCTGAGTACATAAGAATCACAAAATGAAGTATAACAGGAGTACTGTACTTATAGGAGTTTCTTTGCAGCTTTTATGATGGATGCTGAGTTTTGAAATAGTATGGATATATCATCTCAAGGCCTCAAAGTATGTAAAACAGTACAACATAATGCACTTCCATTAGACCTGTATCTTTCTTTTTTTCTTCTTTTTCATGATAAAATTTAAATGCTAAATTCTTCTTTTTATTTGGTTTTTTGTTTTAATTTTAAAAAAATGATCACTGTTCTTTTTTTCAGTTCAGTGGTAAATTGGTTGGCATAATTGGATTGGGCAGAATTGGTTCAGCAATAGCAAAGAGAGCTGAAGCTTTTGGATGCCCGATTAGCTACCACTCCAGATCAAAGAAACCAAACATAAACTACAAATACTACTCTACTGTAGTCGATTTGGCTGCAAATTCTGAAATCCTTATTGTTGCATGCGCTTTGACTGAAGAAACACGACACATTGTCACTAGAAAAGTGCTTGATGCATTAGGTCCAAAGGGCATTCTAATCAACATCGGACGAGGTGCACACGTAGATGAATCTGAACTTGTAGCTGCACTGATTGAAGGTCGTATTGGTGGGGCTGGTCTTGATGTTTATCAGACTGAACCAGAGGTTCCTGAACAATTGTTCGGACTGGAGAACGTTGTTTTATTGTCCCATGCTGCAAGTGATACAGTAGAAACTTGCACAGCCATGGCTGACCTTGTTGCTGCAAACCTGGAAGCTCATTTTCTTCACAAACCATTGTTGACTCCTGTGCTTTGAACATGTGCATTCATCAGTGCTTTAGCATGAGTTTATTATCTTTGAACACAATGAGTATTTCCAAGATTCTGGAATTGTATTCATTTCTGTTTGATGATGAAAACCTACAATGCTTGCATCTGTAGAAAACCTTATGATTGATTATGGGATATATCTAGTAATTTTATCCAAATTCATGGCCTGTTAGCTTTGGTCATTTTTCTGAATGTACATTGTTGTCTTTGAAACTGAGGTCAGTCATTATATCACAAATACATTGTATCAATCTGATATAGAGCCTCAAACACTTCAATTGCCCCCAACAATCTCATTACGATCCCTCATATTTCAGACCAGTCCACTTCATGTAAATGAAACTTCCTTGCCTCAATTTAATCTTTTTTTTGGTTTCCCACCTGGTGTCCGGTACTCGCATTGGGACCCGACTAAATTCGGATACGCGCCGGGAAGTCCCACATTGGGAGATAAAGCGCTCCCTACGCGACTCCATACCCAGGGCTCGAACTCAAGAACTGGTTAAAGATGAAAAAGTACTTACCACTCTACCATAACCCTTGTTTGTGCCTCAATCTAGTCCCTGATACATGATGTAAGTATTCATGTATTATCCCCAATGAACTGCTTTAATGGTAGAGAGAGACATAGTATTGAGCAGAGCAACACCAATCATTCCATTAATCTGGATACATCACTAACTAAAAACTACAGTTTCTTGGAAGCATACATGGCTTTTAGTGGCCAGAAAAAGAAAAGGAAGAAAATCCAGTTTAAGCAGGGCAGTCTTCTCATTCATGAAAACTTCTTGGTTTTCTCAATACCTCAATCTCCAGATCTTGCATTCAGTAGTAGTAAAAAAGAAAACATATTGAAGTCAAAAAGGGGGAGGTGGCTATGAACAAGAGAATAACCTAACTAAAAGTAACTACATCTCCTCATTTTCTTCCTTTCTTGAGCAACCAAATTACCCCTATCAAGGAGAAGATGGAGGAGAAGATGCTCCTTTGAAGATGAGAAAATTAAGAGTCTCCAAGGTGAAATAGATAAATGTTCCTTTAGTATGAGTAAAGAAACACCCAAAGTTTGATCCCACCACACACTGCCATCCACCTCCATATTTCTTGTCAAATTCCTGCGTACAAAGCACAAAACATCAGGACAAATTGTATTTTGTTTGGGCAAAGATCACTTTTAGCCCGCGACCAGAACTATTTACATCCAATAACCGGAAAAGTATAAAATTTATATATTTTTTTATATAGAACATACAAAAATGTGTGCGTATATATTTTTCGACTATTATTTAAAGAGTGATTATACACTGTCATTTTTCTAATTTTCTTTATGAAAAGATTGTAATTTTCAGTCCCACATGCAGTGTTGGAATCAAGAAGGGGTAAATGGGTGTCAAAAATACATGTTTTTACACTATCAAGTCATCCAAATGTGAGATTTGTGCTATCGAAAATATAAAGAAAGATTGGTAATTATCTTGAAAATAAGACAGACTACCTGTAAAAATGACTACGATGTATATAACTTAAATTCTTTGTAGATAGAAAGTGATTGTGGCTACCTTCTTAATGTGAGCAGCAATGGATTTGCAGTCTAAAACATCATAAACATCAAGAGCTTGAGAAGCACAGGCCATGGCTTGGATCTGCATCTTCACTGGCATATCTGTATCTTCAATCAGAGCTTTGCCTTCTAACATGGTGTTTTGCTACTACTACCTACACTCTCAGATCTCAGTTGGATTAGTGCATTTAACTATCTGAGCTAGCCTTACTTTAGGGGTAAAAACGCACAAAGGAAAGAAGCTACCCTGCTCTTTTATTATTATTTTTTTGGTTTTTTAGCTTTTCCAAAAAATAGAAAAAATTGGTCATCCCAATCTGTTTTTGAATGCAACTTTCCAAACGTAAAGGAGACATTTGAAAAGCAGTCATGTGGTGGCACATAGTCCAACTTCAGTGTTCTGTTCCTCCTCATTTTAAGGACAATTTTAACTTTATTCTATTGTTTGATTCTTCTCTTTCTACGTCATTCCATACCGTGGATAACGATGTTGACGATTGTTGGATCCGGTTACCCTGTATTTGTAAATAATAATTCTGGAAAAAATAAAACGTTATCTTATAAACGTAAATTTAAATGATACAGAAACTAATTCGAGCTCACTGAATTCACAGTATTTCCTTAAGGAATTTAATCTTCTCCTAGTACCCAAGGTTATAGATTATTTCCTCCCAGGATAGAACGAATTACATACTGGTGTAGCGGGACTTCAAACTACAGTGTTTCAGCGAACACAAAGTTCGGCAGCAAATCACACTTATGGATGCTTTGTTTGTAGTTAAAAACAATGCAGAATAAGGAGGATAACTCAGAAGTCGAATGGAAATTCTGAGAGGAAGGAATGCAAAGTATAGCCAATGTTGAATTCTTACTGAAGAGAATATCATATTGCAATTCGTTTTTCCAGTGTATACGCAGTGTATACAGAGTGTATATCCAGTATATACAGAGTGTATATCCAGTGTATACAGAGTGTATATCCAGTGTATACAGAGTGTATATTAAGTGTATACAGAGCGTTTTGAGTGTTTTTTCCGATGTGTTCTCCTTTCTCTCCAACTTATTCTCTATTTATAGTAGTTATTTGATAGAAATTCGCCTCCTCCATGGTGCAACAAGCACTAGGCTATCATGGAGGAAGCACTTACATGGTGGAATGTACACTTGCTTGGTGGGAGGTGCACTAGGCTGCTTATTGCTTAGTGTTGCAACACAACATACGGATTGGAAAACATCCGTTACAAACACGGATTATATCACGTTAATATTCACTATTAACAAATAAATTTAGTCCAAAAAATTAATCAATCGATCGATCATTTGACCAAATCCGAATCCAAATCCAAATCCAAATCCCATTTCCCATTCACTCTATTTTTAAGACTATTTCATCTTAAACAAAAACTCAACAAGGATAAACTTGGTGAGGCCTACAATATTTCATGTTTTTCATCTATTTTGGCTTTTCAAATCATTTTTGCTACCCAAATTTTATGAGCACTTGCGACTCAAGAGGTAAAGGTTTATCTACGCACATGTTTACACCAAATTAATTATCTTTCACTTGATTATACTTTAATTTTTACCTTTTATAATTAAATTATTTAATTTTGATATTCGGGTACGCTTGGTGTTAGCCCCTTGACAAGGTCCCCCGATAAATGTAGGTTGTGATAAGGATTTTCATGATGGCCTTGGCACAACCTAAAATATTAGGCAACATCATGAACGAGCAGCTCGGCATGACAGGCTATGCGGGGTTGACAAACGCAACTTGACGAAGACAAGGCGCATTTCACGTGGACGTGAGAGTTAGCATGACAATGACAAGGCAAAGTTATGTCAAGACAGGGAGCCAAGGCATGACAAAGCAAAGGCAAGGCAAGGTAAGATGTGGGCAATGCAACACAAGACAAGACCATGGCATGGCATGGCACAGCAAATACAAGGCAGTGGCATGTGCACAAAGGCATACAAGTGACTGGCAAGGCTTGTGGGCAACTTGGCACGACGGATGGATGTCAAGAAAGGCCCAAGACTTGGCACAATGCAAATCTTGGGCGCAACTGAGCAAAACAGACGCAAGTGTGCAGTGCACACAATGGGGTAGTTGGGCGGTTATTTTGCTGAAAGTAGTTGGGCGGTTATTTTGCTGAAAACTGCTTTGTAGCCATGATTGGCACGTTTGTAGCATATCTTTTTGATTGGTTCAGATTTACCCAACATTTGAGGCTTGTCAACTGTTTTGTTTAGATGCCGCCAAGTGTAATTGGCAGGCTGCACTGTAAAAACGTGCAAAAGGCCAATCCCAAAGACAAAACTTAATCTTGTGGCAAAATTGTTAGCCAAAAACGTCTAAATGTATTCCTAAGGGTTGGAAACTCATTTTGGGGTGGGAACTAGGGTGTTTTTTGTTCTTGGCCATAAAGTTGGGTTTGTTGTGTTCTTATATTCACATATTAATACAAGTTGGGAAGAAATTCCTATAAATCCGTGTGTGCATTTTACTTTTTTTTAAGCTAAATGTATTGGAATGAATATATCATTTGGTTTTGTGTAGGGAAAAAAAATGTGTGCATTTTACATACTTTGCTACCTAAAATTATTTTAAGTTCCAAACGTCCATAAAAATATTTTAAGTGCTGGAAGGCTGAAGTCAAATGCTAGGTTTGATTGCCGCACGGAGGTGAACCTCAGACAGATTTTTGACGGACACAAATCACCCGCGTGACAACAGGCTCAACTGTTTCCTATTCCCCTAATTTTTCATTATTGAGGAATTGAAATCGTGGGGGGAAAAAAGGAATGAAAATCAGCCATCTGAGGTTACTTGTCTGAAGCTACTACAATTCAATTTTGTCTACTTTTCTTTTATTCTTTTTTTGACTTGGTTTTCATATATTGATAACTTAGAAAAGATACAACCTATTACCACAAATTTACATGGTGCATATAACGTAAAAATATGCCATTAACGACAAAATATATGCACGTTTCTAATATCATAATATGTTCAATGAACTTGAATATGAGAATATTTCATAGTACTTGGTTTTATGATAATTATAAACCTTGTTAGGTACAGAAAATAATTACATAAACGTGTTGTTCGTAGGCCAACTCTCTTCTATGAACCTCCTCTTGTACATTATTAATAACCAATTCAATAACAAACTTCTCTCTTCTTTTGTCTCCCTTCAAATCTCAAATGATAGTTATTGACTGATATTTGAGTATCCATTTCAGTAGCTTACCGTGAAACCACCATTAATATTCCCTCCAACGTTGAGAGGATAACTAAAAATTAAAATAAATGCAGTCTCAACACAACTATCTGCAATGTCTATCCCTCTCAATGAAATGACCATTGTGTACTTGAGAGCCAATGAACAAAATATTGGGAATAAACCCCGTAAAAAATAATATTCACGGTATTAGTGATAAACGCAGAACATTAAGTTATGGTTAAATCAGCAAGAATTGAAACGCAACAATAATGACACCAAGATTTTACGTGGAAACCCTTCTAAATAAGGGAAAAAACCACGGCCAAGAAGAGCAACTGATATCACTATAGCGAGGACTTTTACACTATGTAGTAACGAGTAAAAATGCTCCTAGGACCACTACATCCTCAAAAGAAATAAACACTCTTTTGCTTTTTTCACCTCACTACAATATTTCTCACACTCTATTTTTCTTCACAAACTATTTTCTTATAGTTTATGGAATATCTTGCTCACTATCTTTCACTCTTTGTTGGTATATAGAAATGAGAGTTAAGGCTCTCCTTTTATAGCCAAAACTTCACTCTCTAAAGCCTACAATATTTGATAATTTACACACCCTTTTCACAATTTCAACAAGGTTGGCTACCAAACCAAACCAAGTCAATAAAATTGGCTACCAAATTATACAAATTCAACAAGGTTGGCTACCAAACCAAACCAAGTCAACAAAATTGGCTACCAAATCATTTGAATGAGATGGACACCATATCAATCTCCTCCTCCAGTCTCATTCATCTAGAGGAGGTAGCACTATCTTCTAGTTTGACTGCATGCCGACAAGTTCTTTGCATAACTCGAACTTGTCTCTTGGTACCACCTTGGTCAACATATCTGCAGGATTTTCACTCGTGTGAATCTTTTTGACTTGAAGTGATTCGTTCTCCACTTGCTCACGAATCCAATGATATCTGAAGTCGATGTGTTTTGTTCTCGCATGGTACATGAAGTTTTGCTCAGGTCTATTGCACTCTGATTGTTGCAATAGACAACATACTCTATCTGTCGCAATCCAAGTTCTTGAAGAAATCTCTTGAGCCATATCATCTCTTTGCCAGCTTCAGTAGCCGCAATATACTCCGCTTCAGTTGTAGATAGTGCGACACATTTCTGCAACTTCGACTGCCATGATATAGCCCCCCCTGAAAAAGTAAACAAATATCTAGTAGTGGATTTTTTGTTATCAAGGTCACCTGCCATATCAGAATCTGTATAGCCCCGAAAAATTGGATTTGATCCTCTAAAACATAAGCATTCATGTGAGCTTCCTCTTAGATACCTGAGTATCCACTTTACAGCTTCCCAATGCTCTTTTCCTGGATTTTCGAGAAATCTGCTAACAACACCGACTGCATGAGCAATATCTGATCGAGTGCATACCATTGCATACATCAAACTTCTGACGGCAGAGGAATAAGGAATCTTGGTCATTCTCTCTTTTTCCTCTGTTGTTGTTGGACACATCTTCTTGCTCAACTTTAGACGACCAAGAAGGGGTGTGCGAACCAACTTAGCACTTTTCATATTGAAGCGCTCCAGTACACGTTCTATGTACTCCTGTGACAAGTAAAGCTTCCTTTCGTTTCTCGAACGAGTAATTCTCATGCCCAAAATCTGCTTAGCATGACCCAAGTCTTTCATTGCAAAAGACTTATTAAACTGTTTCTTCAACTCATCAATCTTGGAAGCATTTCTGTCCACAATCAACATATCATCCACATATAGCAAGAGGATGATAAAATCGTCATCAGAAAATACAAACACACAATGATCTGAAGAAGTCTTCTTGTAGCCTTGCTCCCCCATAACATACTCAAACTTCTTGTACCACTGTCTGGGAGCTTGCTTCAATCCATATAGACTCTTCTTAAGTTTACATACAAGACTTTCTTTACCTTTTTCCTTGAAGCCTTCAGGTTGTTCCATATAAATCTCCTCTCCTAAGTCACCGTGAAGAAAATCAGTCTTCACATCCATCTGCTCAATCTCCAAATCAAGACTGGCAGTCAAACCAAGAACTATCCGAATGGAGCACATTT